TTTGTTTGAACGTGTTGTCACTTAGTGTAATGTGTATTACTTGTCTGTTGTGTCCTATTGTGTACTACTGCCACCGGGCTAAAACCCAATTGCAGTATAATATATATATATATAATTTGTGATGATGCTGGCAACAGTTTAGTGTTTATTCATAATGAGGTTGGCAATGGTGCATGGCCTATTCATCATGAGGGTGGTAACATTTACTCATTTCAAGCACTATCTTAACTTTCACTTCTCCCACACAGCTGCAGTACACAGTGTAGGTGTGGATATTAATCTGTGGTCTAGTGTGCACACATTCTGCTACATATGAATACTACAGAGATGTGTTTATAACCATTCACAGATAATGAAAAGCTGAAAGTATTTCAAAAGGCGGAATAAACTGGAAACTATGCTGCTGGCAGAAATGACACTGGCTTCTGAAACATGAGAAAGTTCTTGTGAATGTGTAACTAAGATGTGAAAGTACAGGTGTAGTGTATCAACTGTGAATAAATGATGGCTATGGCTTCTAAGAAACACATTTCCTACAACAGTTAATAACAAAATGGCAGATCCATACATCTGTGAGGTCTGTCACACTACCACCACTGAATCCTGATATGAAGCATGCAAATGTGGTGACAGTGAAAAACTTTGAGGTTATGCATGATAATTTTATTGTCATTTTCATCTTTGTAGTTGTCATCAACATCACTGTGATGTGTACATCATAATGATGTTGATGACAACTACAAAGATGAAAATGACAATAAAAGCAACAATAATCTGTAACATACGCATAATTACATGCAATAAAAATGTTATTCTACTAGGATTTGATCATATGACCAAATGCACATTAGTCCATCATGCTACCCCATAAATCAAATTGTATTTTATTGTTGGATTATAAATTTATGTTAACTAAATAACATAACATTTGTAGCAATGGAAGTGTGCAATATGAAAGTAGGCTTTGTGAGTTCTATCCCAAATTCTTTATTCCATTTACTCACTCTAACACAGACTTGCCATTCACACATTTATGCTTCACTATAATAAACTAATAACCTGACAAGTCTCAGCCAGTTTTACTACCTCTGTCCTTAAGAGAGAAATTATGGATATCAACTTAATATATGTGTAAGACGATGGTAAAACTACCATCCTGTTCAGTGTCTACTTAAGGATAACAAAAGAGAAAAGTACATGCTCGATGCAGTCTGCAGACATTTATGAATTAATGTGTGACAAGTTTCACTACTTTTTCCTCGATCTGTAATTTACAAAAACAATTGTCACTGGACTCAAACTCACAATATATAACACACTTTGCAAGCAAAACTGAACACACCTGGTAAGTGAATCCATTGTGTTGAACTCATTGTCTCTTCTAAATGAAACCCTTCATCGTCCCCACTTCTTGTGCTGCCTACATCAGCATCATCCTCATCATCATCACAAGGAATGTAGAATCGACCAGCATTTGAATCTTGACTGCTACCTACAGTATAGGACCTCTGCTTTGTGGCAGAACTGCAATTCGACTCCCATCCTGTAGCGACCTGGCTGGAGAAGGAGATGCTGTCACCTTCAACATAAAGTCCGGACTGCTGCAACAATTCTGTCTCAGATGGTGGTTCATCTTCATCTTCATCCTCTGTGATTACAGGCCAACGATCATGACGATGATGACGTACACATAACCAACCTTAAACAGATCAATTACCTACATGTGAAATATGTTTTATGGATATCTGTGAGATTATTATACAAGAACATACCAACATAAAAACATGTGCATAAATTTGAAATGATGCAGTTGCATGGTTATGGTTTACACATCAATCAACAGGAATTTCTTTTGTGGGTTATTTAATGACAGCTGCAGCATTGAGAATATAGCGTCAGACAGTGGGATGAATGATGAACTAAAAATGATTTGGAAGGAAGCGTAAGTGGTCTAACAGAGGTACTATCCTGATATTTCCTAGAGAGACTGAGGAAAACCAGACACACCCTCAGTCAGGATAGCTGTTGACCTGGCTGAGGTCCAAACTGAGCACCTCCGAAATATAAGAATACAGCATTACATCTAAATCAGCATGTTTGATGCAATGGGAACTATACTAATACACACACAAACAAACATATATATTGTCATGTGTTGAGTGTGTTACGCGACAAATAACTTCACGTGGGTCTCGGATTCAGCGAAACTTTATTGGACACTCACACTTACACACTTTACAACCATTAGCACTTGCAGTATTACAGTTACTGCTTACACAATATCTCGGCCAATACTTCTGTAGCTCCAGCTATCTTCAGTGGCAGCTTCCCGAAGACTGTCTTCTTCGGCGGTTAATACCAGACTCATTTCTTCGGTGGTTGCTATACAATGAGCCTTTGTTATAACCGTGGAAACTCATCTCTATGCAATGCTGTTAGAATTACAGTATTGCTATTGTTACTTCCTATGCAACGGTCTGTTGTAGCGTTTCAATAGAAGTGACTCTTCTGGATTCCAAACACGTTACATTACTCCCTTCTAAAGGTTGTTCGTCCCCGAACAGCCTAAAGATTCATCCTCTCTTCCATTTCCACGGTGTTCTGCTGGCATCTTTCTGCACTGTTCATCCAACCGCATCTGCCCCTCTCTTCAGTGGTCCTTGCCCCGAGCACTCCCGTAGCCGAGAATCTGTCGATTCTGTCACCTCACATTCATTCTTCGCTCATTCAGTCTTCATTTGCCCTTGCGGGGGAGGCCGGTACTTCTATTACCCGTTCCTCCCATGCGGGCCGTTTTCCTTTTTCCACTTTGGAGGGGGTCGACCCCTCCACATAGTCCAATTTCTGTTTTGTCGTAATCCGACAGAAGATCCGACCATTCATTTCGCGATCTTCACGCTGACAATCTCGTAGATGGTCTTCTTACAAATTCTCCCTCCTAGGTGTGATCACTTTCCTGATCTACACCCTCCGATGGCGTCCTTGGTTGGCACCTTTTTCTTCTGGCATAGCGGCTGTCTGCCGCCTATGTTCTTTATTTCAGTTCTTCCTTTCCAGGTTTCTTGTTCAACACTGACCCTGGTTGAATATTTGTTTACGGAGTCTCCCTTGCGCCGTGTCGCACCTGCACGTCTAGTCACATTTCTGTCGGCAGCCAATTCGTGCCACAGTCCATAATTTCCTTGGGTCGTAGATTTCTTGGAGATGTTACTCTTGCACCATGCCACTGTTGCACGGTGAGACATCCTCCGGTGTATTTGCATTTTCCGTGCCACTTTCGCATGGCATGTTGTTCCTCTGCGGGCGGCTGCCAATTTCTTCTGGGGTGCACGATTTTCCCATGTCGAATCCTTCGCTTTCTGGCGGCAGCGCTCCGCGGCCAGTTTTCGGTCGCCTTTTCCTCGGTTCTCCGACCGGCATTATCGTGGTGTCTACTACGGGGACCTGTTGATGCTCCACTACGGACTGCATCATTTCTGAATGGGGTTCAATCTTCTCTGCATCTGCCTCCATTGCTTCTTGGTAGGCCATTGTCTCCATGTGGCTGTCGCTCCCCCATTTGTCTGTCATGGCGGCCATCTCTTCTCGCCATGCTTTCCTATTGGCCTGTCTGTCATCCTCTAGTTTGGCCAGTAAATTTTCTTGGTCAGCCTTTCTATCGGCGTCCGCTTTTGCCTGGTTGATCTTTGCTTCTTCTCACATAGCCAGCAGGAGTTCCATCATTTGTTGCAACTCCATTTTCTCTTGTCGGTCATGTGTGCAGTCCAATCTTTTGAATTCGATCCGATTAATCCAAACTGATCCTACTTCTGACATCAGTTGTCACGTGTTGGGTGTGTCACGTGACAAATAACTTCACATGGGTCTCTGATTCAGAGAATCTTTATTGGACACTCACACTTACACACTTTACAGCCATTAGCACTTGCAGTATTACAGTTACTGCTTACACAATATCTCGGCCAATACTTCTGTAGCTCCAACTATCTTCAGTGGCAGCTTCCCGAAGACTGTCTTCTTCAGCGGTTAATACCAGACTGACTCCTTCGGCAGTTACTAGACAATGTGCCTTTGTTACAACCGTGGAAACTCATCTCTACACAACGGCTCACTGTTAGAATTACAGTATCGCTATTGTTACTTCCTATGCAACGGTCTGTTCTAGCGTTTCCATAGAAGTGACTCTTCTGGATTCCAAACACGTTACATTATATATATACCTGGAGTGATGGCACTAACAGTGGGAAAATGTTGACTTGCATGTTGGACAAGCTTAGCCCTAAGGAGTGAAACTGAGAAACTGTACTGAGAAAGATGGGAGAAAACAAATGAAAGGTTAGTGCTGAATAGCCATTTGCATGTAGCTGTTCAGCAGGTCAAAAAATTCCCTTTTCTGAAACGTGAATGTTCATTACTGTGCTCACAACAGCCTTTATATTGGTCCTCATCCCAGACCCAGATGAATGTAGTAGACACCCTCACATCCAATTTCTTAAGCTAATTCCACATAACACCATATAAAATAACATTAATAACAGAAATCTACTGTGTGTGTGTTCATGCGCGTACATTCATGTGTACACACATGCTTTCATATGGGCATGTGTGTACACGCATGAACAGGCTACCTAATATTTATAAACAAGAGACTGAATTCACAAACATATTCAACATACTCTTGATTATCCAGGCCAATGGAGGGATGATGATGATGATGATGATGATGGTAGCAGCAGTAGCAATAACAACAATAATACTTACAACAACAATAATGATGACACCACCAACAACAAAAAGCACATTAAAAATGACCTTACAGCAAAATACTATATCACAAATCTATGATCATAATATTTTTTAAACAGTAAGTACAATAGCAACATAGATGAAGTGGCATGGGTGGAAGGAGAAAGGTTTGGTCTTTACTTCCTCCTATAAAAGTCACATTCCCTTCCATAAATCATACTGGGAAGGGATGTAGGACAAGATACAAGAGTGACTGGCAAGTACTTGTATCTGCACCAGTGCATGATATTGAAAACCCTATGTAACACAGAAAATGAAAAGTAAAAAAAAAATTGCACAGAAAATGTGCAGACCAGTATCTGTGAGTTTACTGCAACTGTAAATCCAGACAAGACTTATACATTCCTCAACAAATGCAGCCCAGCATATAAAAGTCTAACCTGCTTTGCTCAGAAGATTTGCTCCCTCGAACGTTGTTGCCATCAGTCCAAGCACATAAAAAGCTGTTCCCCGTACAGAGTAGACAGGGCAAGTCTGTGCCAAATGCAGCACTGCATGCACAATCCCTTGTTCTGCAAGGAGGGAAATGCCTGATGGAGAAGTGGCAACATGACCACAACCCCACAGCGCTGCTTTCAGCTCCAAGATATCCTGATCTGAACTACAATGTCCACTATGAACACACTGAAAAAAAGGGAAAATAAATAAATGTTGTTAAGAGGTGAGAAAGTAACAAATTTAAATACAGAACTGATGTGTTGCATCAGCAAAGTAAAATTTATCATATAAATGCTTAAATTAATTGATATAAAACTGAAATGTTAATACAAATGCTGAAAGTTTCTCTTTTCTTCAGATGTAATTAAAACAACTGAATTAAGAGTGCTTTATAAATGTTAATTGTATCTGTATTGTACGAATAATACTTTTACACAAATTTTAAATCTCCACTCGGTTATTTAATTATGCTTTTCAGTATCAAAACTATATGGCATTGAATGACCAATTAGTTCGAAAGAATTTGGCAGGAAGTAGTTGTGGCATATTCAAGGTACACTGCCTGAATTTGCCTGGAGGGAGTGTGAAAAAGCATGATGATCAGTCAACACAGCCAGTGTCCTTGCCAAGATTTGAACCAAGCACCTCCCACATACAACTCTACAGCATTACGTCTAGACCAGCCTTTTTGGTACAAATTTTAACTTATATTAGTTAAACATGTCATGTCACAAAGCAACAGTACGTGTGGGTGTGAGGGCGTGTGCACGTGTATGCATATTTGTGACAGAAAAAGAGAGAACTGCATATATATAAAGTAAAACTAAGGGTGTCCTTATGCTTAATTATGCACCACACTATGAAGATGTATGGATGAATGGAGGTATACTATATTAATTCTTAATCTTGGCATTAATTAGATGGAGGTGAGTGGTCAGCTTCATGCCCTGGTATATTACTTCCGAGAAAACACCCCTCAGTGTCCACTGGACTGGGGGCTGGTAGATCCTCAAAGCTGGTCAAAAATACAGCCATAAAATTATACCAAAGTTCAGTTAAATAAAACACAAGACTCGGTGCCATCGGCACCTCATTTCTGCTATATCCCGACATTGTGAAGCATTATTATACCAAAAGCCTGCTAATAGTTGTATCTCTTTATTCACTTGAATGAGATGAAAGAAGAGAATTAACTGAAAAACCAGTAACATCAATTGATAAATTAAAGCCTGGTAGATTCTGAGGTGCTTCTTACTTGGAAAAGGTTATGCAGCTTCCCTTCTTTCACCAGAAGTTGGAAGCCCTTCTCGTGTTGAACCAACTGTCCATACAAATGTGGTGGAATGAAGACATCTCGCACATAATGTTTGGTATTGGTGACACGGCGACTGTACCGACCATCCTCACCACATTGATGCAATGTCAAGGAGTCATGTATATCTCCTTCAACCAGACGTACATACCTGTCGAATTGCAGCAACACAACTACAGTTAAATACTGATAAATCTATAACAAGCATCAAACCACAACAAAACTTAAATACTAGGTGGTTCAAATATGACTGGGACAGATTTTTTTGTAAACAAGCTGCACTGTGCAGCAGCTGTGCGACCTTGAGAGATTGCAGCCACAACCTTCACTCTCCCTCCTGTTAGGGTTACAACCTGTTCAGTGCTGTCTGGGAGTTGCTAGAGGGATGAGTGTACAGAAGGTATCGCGGAGCGTGGAACAATGCATTGTGATCAAATTCCTCGTTGGAGAAAACGTCCTGTCCGCTGAAATTCACCACAGACTCCAACAACAGTATGAGGAAGAGTGTCTCTCACGGACCCATGTGTTTGAGTGGTGTAAGTGCTTCAGAGAGGGCAGAGAGCGTGTGGAGAATGAACCGCATGATCGTCGGCCGCGAACATCCGTCACCAAGCCAAACATTGATCGTGCAGACGCACTTATTCGTGAGAATAGGCGCATCACTATCAAGGAACTTGGAGCAATGCTGTCCATCAGTGTTGGTAGTGTAAAAGACATCATGAAATATCACCTGCACTATCGCAAGGTGAATGCACGGTGGGTACCACGCACTTTGACAGACGTGAACAAAATGGTGCACATGCAAGTTGCCAGTCGTCTCCTACAGCAGTTTGAAGATGAAGGTGGTGCATTTTTGAAGTCTATAGTGACCACCGATGGTCTATAGTGACCACTGAAGTAGTGCACCGATGGGTGCACTACTTCAGTCCCGAGTCCCAGCAATCATCACACGAGTGGCGGCGTACCAGTTCTCACAAACCCAAAAGAGTGCGAAGGAGCCGTTCAGCAGGAAAAGTGATGGCAAGGTTCTTCTCGGACTGGCAGGGGGTTATCCATGTAGACTTTCTGACAGATGCCAGAACAGTCAATGCAGCTTATTACTCAGACCTCCTGGCAACGGACATGAAAGAAAAGATCCGATCCAAGCGGAAGAGACGTGGAAAGCGGGTAGCCTTTCCTTCAAGACAATGCACGCCCCCATACGGCCAAAACAACAATGGAAACCCTCCGGAAATTGAAATGGAACCTTCTGACACATCCGCCGTACAGTCCCGACTTGGCACCAAGTTATTTCTACCAGTTCAGAAGGCTCAAATCAGACGTGCAAGGCATGCGGTTTGTGTACAATGATGCCGTCATTCAGAATGTTCGGGAGTGGATACGCCGCCAACCACAAGACTTTTTTGAAAAGGGCATCAGGATGCTTCCAGAACGTTGGAAAAAATGTGTTGACTCCAGAGGGGAGTACGTTGAAGACTGACATGTGCAAGTATGTGTTTGGCAATTTTGGTTTAAAAAAAAATCTGTCCTGGTCATATTTGAACCATCTTGTACAAACACTAAATGCAATGTATGAGGGTGTTCAAACAAAGCCTGATCACATCAATGGGGTGCCTGCCTCAGTGCTTAAGTAGATCACATTTATGGGCTCGACAACTTTGTTGGGAACAATCCTGAGCAGGTTTCATTTGAAAAGCACTTATACATTAATAAATTTACATTTTACACATAAGGCTTCCAAGAATTAATCTGTTACGGCATTTATCAAGATTTTGAGAGCAAATTCAGTGGCCATGACATTTATTTTCACTAAACCATCCTTTGTCAATTATTAGAATAACAAACACATCCAGTGCAACAAATTACTACAATAGACCAAATTATTCTATTAAGTATGTTACTCTGCACAGTTTATTATTCCAGTAATTACCAAAAATGTATCAATGAAGATGTCACAAACTGAAAAAGTCCTTTGTCAGTACTGAGTTAAAGTGGATTTCACAGTGCCCATATTAATAACTGATGGCATTATCATGTCATATGAAGAAATGTACATAGCACAAAACCCCCCAAAGGTGTCTCCACCTTGTCATAGCAGTGGGGCTTGTGTGACTCCGTGACCTGGAGCGCTATGCCAGCAGTAGTGTAACTATCAGTAGGGTCACCCATGCCAGAAAGGACAAAGGGTAGAGCCCAAACTAAGAGAGATACCCTGGTCCTATAGGTTGAGGGTTGGGCATGAGGCTAATATCTTCATCCTGTTAGAAGAATTTTGTTCAGAAACCTAACGAGCAGCCTTGGGTCATCATGCATTGATTGTGGAGACTGGTTGAAGAGGAGGCCAAGGCTCACCCAGGGCTGTAGCGCAGAGTGGTTGGTAGGCAGATACATAGCACAAAATATTTCTTTCATTAAATGCATTAGCTTTGACAAAATGCTTTAAAATCTACTAAATATTTACTGTAACATAAGTAAACACTTTATTTAGACCTTTTAAAACCAGGGCCCACGAGCTGATCACTCGCCCAAGGAGTCCTACCGTATGTGTAAGATCTAGTAAACTGAAGTGAAACGGAGAGTTTTATGGAGGTAGGCCTAGGCCCAAATTGGGGCTGTAGCGCCACAGAAAAAAAAACCGGGGCCCATTTTATCCACTCTGGACTAATTTTCAATTTTGTTTATAAATTTCTGCAAGGACATTATACATCAAATTCCATCAAAATCTAAATTTTTACATGTTTATGGTAAGAGAGACTAAGAACAAACTGACATAATGAAGGTGATGTACTGTGTTGATTACACACTGCTACAAAAAGAACCTAAAATGAAACATATAAAATACCTCCACAACACAATCTGGCTGGTATTCAAATGAAAAATCCAATATTCATCAAATTGTTCTCTACAGTTGATACAAAATATGACTTCTTGTAATAAATCAAATTAACACCAGTCTGCCAATCTGGCCTACCCATACATATACACAAATAAAAACCTCACACAGTAATTATAATTTTGTCCATTATAATTCAGGCAAGAACACAGACTGAGGAATTTCAAAACATGGTGCTGAGAATATTCGAAAGCTTTCACGAGGGGGCAGAAAACTGCACAATGTGGAGCTACATAATTCGCATGAACAAATCAAGGAAGATGATATGGGTAGGATACACATCATGCATGAAAGAGCAAAGAACAGCGTATCTAATTTCCATTTTACTGAAATTAAATTTTAACAAACTGAGGTCCGCTGAAATCTGTTAAAATAAACCTTCTCTGCATTACCTGTAGTTGTAGTTGCTGGCCCACCTATCCAGCTGGGTAGTTACAAAATTTGCATCCTGAAGGAAGGTAAAGCCATTAGCAGTTGACAGGAACCTAATGAGAAGCAGTAGGCCTTTATCCCCGAGATGAAGCAATGATGGTCGCAGTGATATAACAGCATCCAAGAATATCTGGAAACAAATATAATCCAAACCAGTCTGGATAATGAAATCATTTGGAAAAAACTGCCTCAACTGATTTTTTATAATGTGATCAAAGGAGAGGGTATTTTATATTAAGAAAATATTTATGTCTTATAAAGGTTACCTTCTCTTCTGTGGCTTCACCTAAAATTGCTATAGCTGCCAATGACACAGCTTTACTTTGGTCATACAACTGCATCACTAGTAATTCTATCCCCCACTTCTGGAAGTCTGTTAATCTGGCACGCAGAAGGACTAATAGGAACTGAGTTGCATAAAGGCGGAAAGACTCTGCTGGGGCAGTGAGGACCTTACTCAGGATTACCCTGCAAATAAAAACAATACTATTCTAAAATCAAAAAAGAAAACATGACAGAGCCACTCAGTTTCACAGGGCAAGATAGTCAAATAATTATGAAAGTTGTTAAAACAGAACCTGTTCGTGCACTTGGCCATGTTTGAGACTCCACAAAAAGCACCAGAAGGCTACAGACATTGGGTTACTGTGGTTCCAGCAGCATAGGAAGTTCTGTGGAAGGGGTCCACTGGTTGGTGTGTTAATGAGATAACTGCCATAGTGTCCACGTGAAAAATTCTAATGGCCTCTATTCCTTCACCCAGAATAATCACCAGAGTTAGTTGAACAATGATCATAACTGCAAATTATGCTCTTATTTGTACATGCAGAAAAAATGCAGCTAGCTCTACAGGAACATCTTCAAGTTTACTGGTTGGTTTACAGAAGTAGAATTATGATGAGCTGGGGGTCCATCTCTTCTCTCTACCAATAAATGAATAAAGCAATTGAATCTCATGCCATTAGGTGTCAAGATAATTTCTTATTATACAACCAATTAACTCCATAACCATGGAGCTAGCAGTTACTCTTACCACATTATCAAACCTTAAGATTCATCACTGTAATTACAAAAGCCTACCATTATACTTGAAGGATTATGTCAATTCAAAAATCCAGTGACCTCATCAGGATTCTAACCTGCAACCTTCTGGCTTGCAGCACAGTGCCTTATTAACCAACTACAATATGGTGCACCCCTATAGAAGGCCAAAGATTTATGAAGTCACAGAGCCTGATTATACTTTATACTGGGCCACAGGTCTGTGAGGCCATACAGACTGATTATAATGCATCATAAGTCTATGAGGTCACAGAGACTGACTACACTCCATACCAGGCCATACAGATTGACTACACTCTATATTGGGCTGTAAATCTGAGAGGTCTTAGAGATTGATTGTGCTCTACACCAGGCCATCTTCTGAGGTTACTGAGGCTGGCAAGATTCTACACGGGCTATCTTGTGTAATCACGGAGTCCATGTTGTGAGGTTATACAGGCTGGCCAGATGCTACACCAGACCATCTTAGGTCAGAAGCTTGTTATGCCTACAGAAGTTTGCTTGTTACCTGGGCATACCATCCATACTGTAGTCAAGGCCAGAGACGACAAGCTTCACGTAGCAGTCATGGTTAGTTGACACAACCAAATGAAGCAGCCTGAAAAGCAAATGTGAACATGTGAAACGGAATTCCACACATGGTAGCATTTCTTTTGTCATTATATGTTATTCTGCAAATTTTAAGAGGAAAGAAGTAATCTTATGTTTTGTGCCCATAATTCCTTGTTTACATTAATCTAAGCTTCTCCCACCATGTATTTATTTTGAACATAAGCAGCACCTCGTCCTTCACCATGTAGTACCCATTTTGATTGACTGAACTAATGACTATTACTGTTAACAACAATAATACTATAACAAAGTAAGATGTCTACATGCAGTGTACTATCCATTACATGCATCCACTATAGGATCAACAGTACATCATTGTCAGTTAGTGATTAAATGTTATGTCATCATTCCAGTTTACTTCTGGTATTCATGCGCCAGAGTGAAATTCAAACATGATTACACAAGACTTTTCTTCTGTAAGATTGTCTGTACAAGCTATGATGTACCCTGGACTGCAGAGTAGATGCACTTCATCTGGAACAGCTAAGGAGAGAAAGACAGAGGGCAATGGACACCACATAATAATTGAAAGGCATGGAAAATCCAATCAATTACAGTTATCACAGTTCCAGTAAAAATGAAATACAGTAGAGTAGGGATGGCTAAAAAGATTCAGTTATTATCTAACTTTCTGCATTCCCAAATACAGGTTATATATATATGACAAACACCACAAAACACTTGTACAAACATACAATGGAAAGGTTTCAAGTGAGGCAAACCAACATCTGTCAGAGCTGTAAGAATATTCAATCAAAAAAACGAAGTTCCCACAATAAATTACAGTTTTCACTATCTGCATCACACATACACATACTACATTTATAAAACTAATAATTCTCTTGGAAGAAAATCAAAAGTTCAACACCACTGCCAAGGCCAATAACTGGATATGATCATAAGCCAGTCCAATACAGATTTCGGTCCTCTGGGCTGTGATACTGTGCAGCCTTGGGGGTAGTACATATTTCAGATGGTCATACCTGTTCCATCTTCAGGGCTGAAGGGTGCAGGTTGAGGAATCAACCCAGCTGACTCCTAACCTTATACAATTGAACCCTGAAGATGGAAGGAGCATGTTTTTCCAAAATATCTGCATCCAACTATATGAATACATGGTGTCACAGCCAAGAAGAAGGCAATCTCAACAAACATTGTCAAGGAAACCTCAGAAATTATATTAAGTCAATCCAGCTTACATATTTATGACTGACTGCCCTAATATTAATCTTCCATCTCCTTCTTCATCTCCCAAGAGGACACTTTCCAAGAGGTTTCTTCATGTGAATAATACATATAGCTTCTACTTTCCCCAACCACACTATACACCTGGTTCAATGCAACTTTCTTCTCATGACAACACCAAAATAATAACAACAGTCTATTACTCACTGCTGAAAGATGCCTGCTTTATCCAACACACGTAACCCCTTACTACACCGACAAAGCCGTCCAATAAACATAAAGTAGTCCTGACAAACTGAATTTGACATATGCTGAGGGCTGAAGAGACAGTCATGGGCACTCTTGGAGGATGTGATGGCATCAATCTGAACCCAAATGTCTGCCAGCAGTTCATTTAACAGTTTACCACCTTCAGCCTGAAAAATACAACAAAGATTTGTTCCCAGGCTCAAGCTGGTATCAAACACCATGGTGCATGTAATACCTGACATTCCTATACATACATACATACATACATAACGTTCAGTGAATCCACAGTCATAAATGACCGTATGTTGTGGAACAATAAGAACAACAATAATAAATATGTACAGTACAACTGAAACTATTACATAAAAAATAAAAATATAAAATGCATAGAGGGTTCACATAAGGTGATATATATTTTTTTTTTAATTTGCTTGGTAGGGGGTGGTGCCCAGCTGGGTCCACTTGGTATGGCAGCCACTGATTGGCCTACTGTACCTGCCCCCAGGTGATTATGATGGAGAATTTGGTGGAATGAAGATTGGCAGGGGAAACTGAAGTACTAGGAGAAAACCTGCCACAGTGTCACTTTGTCCACCACAAATCTCACTTGACCAGACCCGAGATCGAACCCAGGCTGCTGTGATGGGAAGCCAGCAACTAACCGCTTGATTCTGTATTTCAGCATCCCGTTGCAATTGTTCAAATTAGCATCCATTGTTTATCTTCCATCAAAAGTTTTGGTAAAATATCTGTAACGTAAAAACACCTGAAGATGGCCATTTGAGGCCAAAACATGTAGTGTTGAAGTGTAGAATGTAAAAAGTGTTGCAATTTTGACAGAAGATAAACAACGGATGCTAACCGCTTGAGCTATGGTGCGGCAAAGGTGATATCTTGGAAGTACTGAATTCAAATATCAGTCAGGAAACCAGATTTCCTGAGGTTTTCATGGTTTTCCTCAATCTATCCAGGCAAATGACATGATTTCATCTTTCCCTTATTAATTCTCTTATTATACATACATACATAGATACATAATTTCACAGATCCATTGCCCGGTAACCGGAATGGATATTGAATTCGTCAGCAAAATGACATTGCAAAATGCAATCTAGTCTCAACAATTAAAATATTCAAGAATTATAAAATAAAAACACAATAATAAAATAGAAAGCAGTCATATAACAAATCTAGATAATACATAATCTTGGAAAGACAACAATAATGTATTATGCTTGCCTGTATGCCATGTATTCATCTACCAAATAAAATGCATTTAAAATAAGATAATCTTTTAGCCTTTGTTTAAAAGTATTAATATTGTCTTTCAAGGAATATATATTTTGTATGGCAAGTTATTAAATATTCTAATGGATGAAAAATGCACACTCTTTTGAATGGAAGATAATCTCACAAAGGAAACATGTAGTTTATTATGCCACCTAGTACTTAATTTGTGTATGCCATTATTCACCTGATACATATCAGGATTTTTGAGTACAAACAAGACTATGGAATATATATATAAACAGGGGACAGTAAGTATGCCCGTTGTCTTAAAGCCTTCCCTACATGAACTCCTTGGCCCTAATCTTAACAAGACTCTTAATGCTCTTTTTTGTACAGTAAATATACTTTTCATTAATGAAGAAGAGCCCCAAAAAATGATACCGTAATTAAGTTGGGCCTGCACATGAGAAAAGTAAGCCACACGTAAAACTTGTCCACTCACCGTAGGCTGCAATTTTCTAAGCATGAAAATTGCAGTACTTAATTTTTTTTATTAAATTATCCGAATATTGTTTCCACTTGAGATGACTGTCAAGGCACACACCCAAGAAATTAACACTTTCATCAATATTACGAACTTGATCGTTATATTCCACATATAATGGATAGTCCATGGTCATAGGCGTAGTAAATTTAATTACATGCGTCTTCTTTAGATTAAGGACTAATTGATTATTTTGAAACCATTATTTAATTAAAATATTGAGATGGGGGAGGAGGTTAATTTGTAAGCTGCATGGTGAATCAAGCTTGGAACTTAACGCTGAAATAATGACCTTCCCTAAGTTATGTGATGCTTACAGCAAGCCAACTGTCTACAAAATGTTGGAGCCTTGACGTCTCACAACCCTATGGGCCTTCACAGCCTGTTACAGGGACAGCTTTAACTTTTTTATAGTTTTCTGTAGATTTTATATAGTGTTATGTGTGATGTCCACCTGATGACCAAAAAATGTCATGGGTTAATGAAATAAGTAAAGTGTAACAGTGTGACCACTTGTTAATTTTTTTTGTAAGCAGAAAAGAAACTGTCAGGTGTCTATCTTCCCAGAGACTGTAGAATTTCATTCAATTTTTAAGCACATATAAAACATAAAACCATCAATTTTGAAATGAAAATGGGAGTGTATCACTACTTTGTCTAATACTTTAAAATATAGAAATATATCAGTCACAATGTGCATGTTTACAAAAATTCTTATGCCATCAACACAACTACACAATATTAATACTGCTTTTTTAATTCTTAACCACTACATGCTTTGACCCTATTTGTGGGTCTTCTTCAGGTGGTATACACGCTTAAACATGAATCATGTGAATCAGCAAACAGGGTTGAAAAAAAGAAGTGGGTAAGAATAAAAATCACTATTAATGCTAGGTAGCTGTATTGATGGTATTATAAGAATTATACATGTAGAACACAACAGGATGCTAAAATCGAACAAAGTGCATATTCTTAACCTCTTAACAGGATAGCAGTATGAATGTTACCATTTCCCAGACTGGTAAGAAACCCAGTATTTTGCCTCAAAAGTGTACCTGCATGTTTTGTCTGGTTACCAGAATAAACAGCCACAGTATATCTGACCTCCATAAGCTCATGAATTTCACACTGGAGTGAAATGTTTTCTTGGATGCTGCAACCTATGTGTAATTCTTGAGCCTCAATCTACAAACAGTTACAATTATTTTTGGCACCACATTCATATTTTTAAGAAAAAGTGTGCTAGAAAGCATAGCGTACCTCCTCCACTTCCAAAAGACAGTCTATTAGCTCCAGTCCAGCCAGAGTGTACATCTGAGTCTGTTTCTTGTTCCCCAGTTCAACACGAGAGAACCGATTACTTGAAGGCTTGAAGTAATGAACAAGTCTTTTCAGAAAAGTACGATGATTAGAGTCTTCTAGCTTTTTCAGAGGTTCACTGCGACTCTGCAAAACAATTGGCAAATATTCTGACAAATCATTTTAATGAGTATTCTAAATAACATACAGATTAACAGTTTGCTCTGATACGTGTCTTGCAGCTATCCTGGCTATACTATGTACTGACAATTAGTTTGTAAGTCATAAACTAAAGATGGATGGAAGCAAAAATGATTTTCCAAGTGTAATTTCTGGTAGGTGTTCGATTAATGCATTTAGTCACATTAAATGCAATAGTTTTGTAATTATCATCTTGGGTAGTATATCACAGTGACATGTCTTAGTGACTAGACAAGGGGTTTGGAAAGAGAATTGTTTCTATTGAACACTTATAACTACAATCATTTCACAGATTTACATATTCTACAGAACACTGTACTGCAGGACATATAAAGTTTTCTATATCATCAATACTCATTGCCTGGTAACAACTCCCAACAGCAGAAATTCTTCAGCTTCTGTACACATGTTTTTACTGGCTGATAACTGACTCACAACTCATCGCCCCAACCAAATCAGCTGCCTTGACGACTCTCGCTATATAGCCTCAGCATAGATCACATAGAGAACACTGTTCCCACCAGTTCTTCTATTGTTTTTGCAGACCATTGCCTAGTGATGGCTAATTTGTTTAATGAGCCATTCCCACAAAACATGTCACAATATGAAATAAATAATGTATGCTGTTTGATTCAAAAGTTCCTTCTTCTGCGACACAACACCACTTACTCCGCTGGAAGCCACCCAGCAGAGCTCTGCTTGCCAACTGCTTTCATGCTGGTTCCTTCCTTGGCTTATGCTTTGACCATGAAGATGGAGATGACATGTTCCTCCAAAACATCAGTTGACTTTCAATGGACTATATGGCATTATGTCCCAGAAGACAGAACTCTTCATAACCACTGCTGTGAGAACCTCAAATCCTACAGACTGTGTGTGTCAGATACAAAAACAAATAAGACATACAACACTTATGTTTCTCTACAGCTCTGATATACGCAATATATTGTACAGCACCATAGGCATGTCTTCTTCTTCTTACAGGTGTAAGCGATGACAATGAATAAAGATAAACGTGTGGATTAGAAGGATGAGTCCCAAGGAATAAACCACAAAAATCCACTTCGACTGGGGAGCCAAGAGACAGTCAAGTTGTATTCTATGAATATATGAAATGTAAGATTTGAGGCTTTCACGGCAGTGACTATGAAGAAAGCAGTCTTCTGGGATTTGGCACCGTGTATATGTGGTGTTAACCGACGTTTCGGAGGAACGTATCGCCTCCATCTTCAGGGTAGAAGAAAAACTGCTTTTACCGGTTCTCACGGTCTCTTCGCTTGCAGAATTCTTATATTTTTTCTTCTACCCTGAAGATGGAGGCGATACGTTCCTCCGAAACGTCGGTTAACACCACATATACACGGTGCCAAATCCCAGAAGACTGCTTTCTTCAATATATGAAATGTTAAGCATCTTCAAGAGTGAACTGTCACTGCATGAGGTGAGATCACAACACACCTCTGCCTAGGACTGGGAAATACATTTTGGCTGGCATAAACAGTGAACACACTGAGCATACTGTGCAACAGCTATCTCAAATCTCCAATACTGCCTATGGATTCAGACATGGATCGCCCATAAAATTACCTTCAAAACTGCTCTCACTACATTCCAATTCCAAGAGAATCCATCTTTATGAGTCAAAACAGCAGAATCTTTCAAAAGGTCATCACCTTCCTTTGGCACTACAAGCTGAAATAAAATAGAGTACCAACACTTCACCCACTGCAGTACAGATTTCATTTCATTTCTGTTAATGCTATGTAAATTAGATTAAGTTACTACTTACACTAAATAAATGACAACTGCTTATGACAGGAACTGAGTACATGTAATTCCTTCCTGTCTATTAATTTACTCACAACTCTGATCACTCAAATATGAACAGATATAATTTGGGAACCATGATTCTCAGATGTTGTTTACAGCCATGACACACCATTCTGAAAGGCTAAGTCTTGACACATTACTGATATCAGAGGAAAAGTCTCTTAAATTTACTTAGTGGGTACATGGAGACGAACAGCATCCATAATAGGACAACAGTCAATTTTGTTCTTGGAAAAGTTAATAAGAAATAAAGCGTAAAGTTTTTGTCATCTGTAATACAGTAAAACCTGTCTTAAACGGAATCTCAAGGGACCAGAAAAAATTTCCGCTGAAGCCAGGTTTCCGTTTAATCAAGGTATACTATAACAACAAAACCAGGACATAAACGTATTTGAGACAAAACAAAACAACATGCTCATTAATTTATTCACACTATAATCATTGAACACATGCAAACATTACACTGAACAGGAAAAAATTGCAGTACTCACTTTTTATAATTTTACCAGAACTCTAGCAGAGTTTTTTGCACGCAGTTTACTCTCTTGGCTGCCTGACTTTCCACAAACACTTTAGCTTGAGAAATTAGAGTAAGCATGTCTGAATCATTCCATTGCATGGCAAACTCCTGCAGTACCTTTAAACTGTTGGCAGCATCCTGATAAGTCTTCACTCTGCACTTTTCTTCTTCTATCACAATGTCATTTTCTTCTTCCTCCTCCTCCTTCTCCTCCTCTCTTCCTTTTCGATTTTCTCTAAAATTCTCAACTAATACATCGATATCCATTGTGTCTGGTTCTGTTTGCACATCTCTGTCTATGTTGATGTAGTCCTCAGCAGTGCAGTTACTGAAAGCAGCTTCAGTCATGGAATGTTGTAAGTCCTTCTGGTCATTCTCATTTTCTACACTAGGAGTAACTTCTACCCTAGAAAATCCTGCTTTTTGAAACACTTCGTCACAGTTTCTGGTAACAACTTCTTTACTGCTTGACTTATCCAAATAACCGCATCTAGAACCGAGACAGTTCTTGCAAGTTCAGAGGCGGATGATGTAGAATCTATATTGACGAGCAAAGATTGCATTAATAATTTATGATAGTGGACCTTAACATTCCAAATGATGCCCTGATCCATTGGTTGAGAAACACTAGTGGTGTTTGGAGGGAACCAAGCAAGTCGCACGTTGGAAAGTTCGATATGGAGGTGGCATGTTGCGTTATCCAAGAACAACAAAACATGCCGGTTTTGCATTTTCATTCCACCATTGAAGGCCGTTAACCATTCCTCCATATGTGACGTCATCCATGCCTTTTTGTTGGATATCCACTCAACGGGAAGTTTCTGTATGTCCATGTTTCGGAAGCATCATGGCTTTGCTGCCTTGCCAATCACTAAGGTTTTCTCCATTTCGCATGACATAAAACCACATAGAAAAACAGTCAATCTTTCTTTGCACAGTTTTCCTCCCAAACATTTTTCACTTTTCAGACACAGCAATTTATTCGGAAGCGCGCCGAAGAACAGTCCAGTCTCATCACCGTTCGCTATGTTTTCAGGTTCATATCACTCGATTATGAATGGCAATTCAGCTTCCCATCCCTCAATGGTCTCACTATTTACATCACTTGATTCACCACAAAGTTCATTAAAAACTATCTGATGTCTTTTGCAAAAACTCTCCAAACCATCCATTAGATGCTTTGAATTCAGTCTTCCCCAGTTTTTCAGCGACTTTTTTAGCATATTCCTGTACCATAGGACCCGACAACCGGTGATTTTTCGCCCTCACACTGACAAACCACTCCCATACTATTTCATTAATGTCTTCGTTTGCAGTTTCCTTACGTTCTCTTTTCACTTTTCCATTAGCACAAGTTTCCCACTGCTTCAAAATTTCCGTTTTCTTCTTTAGAATCTCATACACTTGAGTTTTAATGACATTAAACATCTTCATGATCTGCTTAACAGACAATTTATCTCACTCACTCACATTGAATCACTTTTAATCTCGTGTTAAGATCAAGCAAAACTCTTGTCTTTGTAGCCATGATGACAACTGCTAGACTAAAGTAAACTGTAGGCCTAGAGCCCTTACTGAATACAATTTCCAGAAGGGGAAAACAATTCTGCTGAATCTCAGTGCAGGTAGTGCAGTGCCGTTAGAAGCTTATTTTAAAGAGTTAGGGAAAACAAAATTCTGTAAAATGTATAGGATGCCTAAAATTATTCTAAACGATGCATTCTGGAAGACTGGAAATTTTCTGTCTAAAGGCTTATTTTGATTTCCCTTGCCCGCGTTAGACAGTTTCCATTTAATCCAGGTAATTTAACATCTTTTTCAGCCACAAAGTCAAGGGACCTGAAAATATTTCCGTTTAATAAAGGGTCCGTTTAAGGCAGGTTTTACTGTAATAATAATAATAATAATAATAATAATAATAATAATAATAATAATAAATGTATATTTTGGTTGTGGAAATTCAAAATCAGCCTAGTCTCATATCAAATGGGCACTGGAGCCCCTATCCTTGGAGGTAAAGCGGCCGGTGCATGAGGCTGATCACTCATGTCCAACTAGTGCCAAGGTCAAGAATATGTGGATCTATACATCCACCACCCATACATTTCCATGACATGGTGTTTAATTGGATAAGCACAGGCATGACTTACTTTACCTCACCATGGCATAAGCACATTGCTATAAACAAATTATAGCTCCCTTAAATGGCAGTAAGGATGTTGGTCCATAAATAAACAGAGATAAAATAAGTAAATGCTCACGTTGCGTAATGAGAACACAGGACAAAATAATATGGGAATTACAGTTGGACAGATGGTTACAATTAACAAATAATAAAGCACTGGACAGTGACATAAAGTTTTACTAAATGAGCACAATTACCCTTGTCCTGTTAAATTTAAAGTAGCATCTTCCCCTCACTGGCCAGATATTTATTCATCTGATCAAGATATACTCATCAAAAGCAAGTTTGTATCCTCACAATCTCTTCCTCCTATACCTATTTCAGTATCTATTTCTAGGTCCTACATATGGTTTCTTTATTTCAGGTCATAAAATCAAAATTTCTTATTAATTTCCTGTTTCCTCCCACGCATGATACACATCTTACCCATATTATCTTTCTTGACTGCTTCTCATTTTAACAGTAGTACGCAAAAACCACAAAATACAAAACTCTCTTTATGTCCATTTGGATGAAGAATCAGCATTTGTTCTTAAACCCCCGTGATTCTGTTTCCTCAGTGAGAGAGATAAAATTTCACAGAGGTAAAATCATACTTCAATATACTTTAAACGTCAGCTGTTTGGAAAGTAACAAGATACTAAAATATTTTCAGTTAAATGATAGCACAAGTTTTCAAACTTTGTTGTGACCTTAACTTCATCATCAATGTTCTTCTAGGACTTCAAAGGCATAGAGTTCCTTCCTATCTCAGCCTTTCATAATAATGACAACTACCTGTGTTTACTGTACCTTCATTTTTTCAGATTTCAGTACAACTGCTTGTTAATCAGGATTCAAAGTGCCCACATCTGCGCTATGCTCTTACTCATATTACCTCACACATATATATCAGCAGTATAACTGATCAGTCAATGTCACACAGAGTTCAAAGTAACTACCGTATATACTTTGGAGCGTTTTCCAGCCTTGCTTTCTTCACGGCCCCATCCTCCAGCCTGCAGAGTTCGGTCCAAGAAGAGAGATGCTGGTGCTGGCCTTCGTTTCAGCATAGTATGCAGATGTGATAATATAGCAACTGCGGACAAAGCCTGATGCTGAACAGATGGAACTGAAGCATTTGAGGCATGTGACAGCAAGTTTGGTAAAGCTGGAGTTAGGTTGCAGCATTCTGGTGGTAATAAATTGTGTATCAGATGCAACAATTCACCTGGAGAAACAAAGAAAATAACATATGTGAACAGATGCACCTTCATATCTTTCATCGAAGCATTTTTTTTCTCTTTATGTCTAAGGCATACTCAATTCTAGCACGTACGTCCCAGAATTATGCAGTAGTTAACATGCACAGGGAGCTAACTCATGCTACAATCCCTTGAGGGGGACAGGGTTCATGGCAATGAGCACAACTGAGTTAAAGTGATGAAACATGTGTGGTATTCCACATTCAAAGTCATTAAGTCACTTACTTCATATAAGGACTTATACATCTTATGTAAATCAGGGGTTTGGAATGAAACCACATCCCTGTTAAAGTAATCTTAACACATATATACTACATAAAGAAATAACGAACCCAGTTGCTGCATTACCCATAATAAGAGTCACAGATGACTCAGTATACAGTCTTGGCAGGAAAACATGAAGGAGAGAGACCACCTTGAAATCCTAGGCATAGGTGCATGTTAAAATGCATCTTAAAGATACAGGACAGGAAGGTGTGCACTGGATTTATCTGGCTCAGGATAGGGACCTGTGATGGCCACCTGGACATGGTAATGATCATTCCGGTTCCATAAACTGCAAGAGATTTGAAAATCTGACCAACTAACTCTGCTCCACGGAGTTGTCTGATCCAGCTACAGAACTGGATGGGATACTGATCACAACAATTCTAAAGTCATCACTCACTTGTGAAGTTCCAGACAGTCCCATTCTTGAGACTTAGAACATGATGACATCTCAAGCTGGAAGTCTTATGGAACTAAGTGGCTTTTATGACGCCCCCATAAATAAAGTCATACATTTCACTTGAAGTGTAGGATTAAAAGAGGGTTAATCCAAAGGGGAAGCACAACAGATCACTGAAGGTCACAGTGCAAGGGTTGGATTTTATGGTCCACACCTTACACATACTACATACTACTAAGTTGGAAGTCTGTATTACTGTAAACTACATCTAAAACAAGATACCATAAACTGCTTTCCTAATTCATTCAGAGAGCTAACAACACAGTCTCCAATATCTAATGGTAATGACTAATCTTTGTAGTTAAACATGCTACTCCTATCAAGAAACTGACATGACCTATCCTTGAAATCCTTCTTAATTATACCACACAATTTGTTTCCATTACTTCATCTATATTCAAATTATTTATGAAATTTTGCTTGTATGTATCTACTTTATTTTGTACTGATTGTATTTTCAGTTCTTTCCTACTACAGTCAACTCTCGATTATCCAGGATAATGGTGGGGATGGAAATCACGATTAATCGAAAACCCGGTTAGGACAAATTTTATTAAAAGTAGTACTGTAATACTGTACCTTCATAATACTATAGGCCTACCTGTATTTAAATTTATTCAACCTCATTTTTATGTCATCTCATGGCCTATTTAATACTTTTTTTTACATTACACTGAAATATGAATTAGTTATTTCAATCACAGTCTTCAACAACATCCAACATTTTTTACGAATATTCACACTTAACATTTAAAAAAATTTAATATTGTTGTTTACTTTTTTGCGGCATTTTCCTTTTTCTGTTGAATACTTAACACAACACGCTTCCTTTTACACCCTGACATTTTGCTAACGCACTTGAAGATCGATACAAAGAAACTAACTGGGGCGATGTATCTGTCCTTGAAACTTTCCACAACTCCTTGCATTCTTTCACCCCTATCCTAGAACATTATGTTAGCATAACGGGACCAAAGAATGCAGAGCTCGGTTCACACTAGTGCAAAAATGGTGTTACAACTCACCATGTGAAACAAAAGTAAATGAATATTAAATAACATATAAGCCTCAAAAAAGCATCAGCAGCCCCGGTTAAGCCGCAAACCGGTTAATCCGCCCCGGATAATCGAGAGTTGACTGTACTTTCATTCTTATTATGGTCCAGTCCAGTGCAGCCCATTAACTGTTCTTTATTTTCATGTGGCTTATGTTATAATGCTGTCAATAGCTAGACTATGCAGAATCAAATTACAGAATGACAGATGAATGATGAACTGAATGGATATGGGAGGAAGCAATCATGGCACAACTAAGGTACTATCCCAGCATTTGTTTGGAGGGACTGAGAGAAACCATAAAAACCTCAGTCATGACAGCCTATGTCCCAGCCAAGATTCAAACTCCCCAAATATAAGTCAAGAGTGCTACTGCTACACAATCCTGCTCACTTTCTAACTGTTCTTAAACATCTCATCTCTCCTGTACTGAATTCCATACAACCTACATCTACAACACATAATTTTATATATCTATATACAGCAATTCCCAAGAGCCTATCTTTTCATCTGTGTATATGTGTGAGATGGCAAGTACACATGCATGCATGCACATATACATCTGAGTGAGAGAGAGAGAGAATGACAGAGTGGATGGTTCAGTATGCAGTCAGTATAATTACAAACATTTTTAATGTAGAATCAAGGATAATTACCTAATAGAATAGTGGCTCTGACAGATATAAAAGTATCAGAAGAGACTATAACTTCAACAATTGCCTCCAGTAATCCAGCATGAAGAAACGTATAAAGAAGCAATGCAAGATGTATTTCCACAATGTTTGGCCTGCAAAGAAAACAAACATATGTTATAAGTCTTAAAACCTTTAAAGATGCCAAAGCATCGGATTAAAGTGATCTGCATCCCCACACACCTGATCATTTAGGATGTTACAATGAGATTTAACCATTACACAAGAATATTAGCTAAACAGTAAACCCTGGTGGTCATTTCAGTAAGAAAAATTGTTTTTTCTGAAAAATGAGACAATATGTGGTGTTGCAAATTAAACCTGTGTTTTTTCCCCCTCTGGTGCTACAGCCACAATCTGAGTCTCTGCCCACCTCCATGAAACTCTCCGTTTCACTTCTGTTTACTAAATCTTAGACATTTGGTAGGATTCCTTGGGTGGGTGATCAGCTCATTGCAAGGCCTCTAACTGTACACAAACACAGAAAAGCACCCATACACACACACACACACTAACTATCCATACCCTGAATGGGATTCGAACCCATGATCCAGCTTCTAAGCAAGCAAAGACAGTGCACGCCTTAAACCGCTCGGTTACCATGACTGACAAACCTGTGTTACACCACCTTAAAACAGACCCAGTTACTAATTGGATAACATCATTGCATTATTTTATTTTGTGTCTCAGAATAAGCATAAGGACCACCTTGATTTCAGGTCACTTGCTGATGTCAAAGGATGTACAACCATAGGAATCAAAATTCTGTACTATAAATGCACTTAGCAGAAAGGAAAATATAAGTTATAAATTTCTGTGGTAAGTCGCTGAAGTCATGCATAACATAAAATCATGATTAAATTGACCTTCAGGATGACTGGATTCAAAAGATCATTATACAGTCTGACAGTAAGCCTTATTAGATAAAATTATTAGGGATCATCAGCGTGGGTTTCAACATGACAGATCAACTATGGATCAGATCTTTTGCATTTGTCAGATACAGTACTTCAGCTATTCATAGACTTCAAGTAAGCCTATGATTCAGTTAGGAGGGAAGTATTGTACAATATTCTGAATTTGGGGTACCCATGAAACTAGTTAGGCCAATTAAAACGTGTTTAAACAAAATGTATAATAAAGTCTCTATACATAAAAATTTGTCTGATAATTTTCCTATTCAGAATTGTCTACAACAAGGAGATGCTTTATTGCCACTCCTCTTCAACTTTGCTTTAGAATATCCCATTAGGAAGGTCCAGGAAAACCAGGTGGGACTGAAATTAAATGGGACAAATCAGCTGTTGGTCTATGTGATAATGTGAATTTACTGGGTGATAATATAGATACCATAAAGAGAAACACACAAACTCTGACACTAGTACGGAGGTTGGTCCAGATGTAAACACAGAGAAAACTAAGTATATGTTGCTGTCTTGTCAGCAAAATACAGGGCAAAATCATGACATAAAGATAGGAAACAGATATTTTGAAAATGTGGTACAGTTTGGATATTTGGGGACGATGATAACAAATCAAAACCTGATTCAGGCAGAAATTAAGAGGAGACTGAACATGGGTAATGCTTGCTACCATTCAGTGCAGAACCTTCTGTCTTCTCGTTTGCTGTCCATAAACATAAAAATTAGAATATACAAAATTAAATTTTGCCTGTGGATCTGTATGGGTGTGAAACTTGTTCTCTGATATTAGGGGAGGAATACAGACTGAGGGTGTTTGGGAACAGGGTGTTGATGAGAATATTTGGACCAAAGAGAAATGAGGCGACAGGAGGTTGGAGAAAACTGTATAAGGAGCTTCAAAACTTGTACTCTTCTCAAACTATAATTAGAATGTTCAAGCCAAGGAGGATGAGATGGGCAGGGAATGCAGCATGAATGGAGGAGAAGAGGAATGCATATAAGATATTGGTGGAAAGCCAGGAGGAGAGAGACCACTAGGATGACTAAGACGTAGGTGGTTGGACAATATTAAAATGGATCATAGAGAGATAGAATGGGATGGTATGGATTGGCTTGATCTGGCTCAGGATAGGTACCAGTGGAGGGCTCTTGTGAACAAGGAAATGAATCTTCGGGTTCCATAAGATGTTGGAAAGTTCTTAAGAGCTGCACAATTGGGGGCTTCTCAATAAGGGCTCAGCTCCACAAGTGAGCAAGTAAACCTTATTACTACCGTAACAAATCACTGGGCCCCAAAAATTCTAGTATGTTGTTAATTATCCCTCAAAGCAAGTTTCAAGTTCATTACTAACACTTATCTTAGTTACTGGAATTAAGGGGAAGTCACCCTACAAATTTTGGCATTAATCTGATGCTGTTTATTAACACATGTGAAAATTTCTGTATCTTCAACACAAAAGTAACACTCTGCTAAAATTGTTTCCACCTCATTCTGCATGAATGCAGTGCTGGTATTTGCAAAACAGGAAGTTCATAAAGTCTCAAATGGCATGATGCTCATACCAAGTTTCACAAAAAATAGTCACTTAATGTTAATGATGTCTAGCTGAAAGAGGGCTTAACAGACAGACATATGAGTATATAATTCATGAATTACATTATGAAAAGGTATTTCACTGCTCTGGAGCGCAAAATAGGTTCTTCTTGCTCTGTAAAATTTTACAGTCTTTGCCTAATATATGACTTTTATCACCTGGCTTCATCCTATGTTGAAGCAGTTCCAATGTTTTAGTGTTATTTGCAGTTGCCACTTCCAGGGTGACTGAGGCAGGAGAAGGAAGGTGACTAACACATAGGTCACACAATTTGAGTATGGGTGGAGGTATGGAGCATGGTGCATGGTGTTTCAAAAAAGCTCCCTGGGACATTCCATCTAAAGGCAATGCATCCACACAGGTATTTACAGGCAGCCTCATACCAAAGACTGCCACTTGAAATTTGTAGACAGAGCGCTGCTACGTAACACGAGAACAATCAGTGACCAGGGCAACAAGGTCTACAACAGTCAATTCTGTTCTCTGAGAAAATGGTTATTTCTGCAAGGGCAATACCAGAGTACCTGGAACCACATGGAGAACACATGGGAAAAGTGGCTAGATGAGGCCACAACACATACATCCAGGAAACAATAAATTGTACGGAGGGACTCACTCACTCACGGAGCTGAGCCCATCTTAAGAAGCCGCCAATTGTGCAGCTACTCAAGAACTTCCAAGCATTTTATGGAACCCGAAGGACATGTTCACAAGAGTCCTCCACTGGTCCCTATCCTGAGCCAGATCAATACAATCCATACCGTCCCATCCTATCTCTCTAAGATCTATTTTAATATTGTCCACCCACCTACATCTTGGTCTTCCTAGTGGTCTCTTTCCTTCCAGCTTTCCCACCAATATCCTATATGCATTCCTTTTCTCCTTCTTGTACAGAGGGACTACCCAGAAAAAAAGGAATCCATGTGATTCATTGATTACTAGACAAAATGGGCATGCATCTCATACCAAAAGAAGACAACTCCCAACATGACAACCCAGCCCTTACAAGATCCCCTATGCCTTCAGTGAAACCAGGCATGACACACAAGAACTGAGGTTCCCACAACGGTGACTATGAAGATTGTATTGTCTTCTGGGATGTGGCACTGTGTAATCTGGTGTATCATTACCCACATGTTGAAAGAAAAAGTTGCCTCCATTTTGAAGGTTGGACACAGAAGGTTCCTCCACAATACTGCTAATGAACTACCTACTACACAGTGTCACATTCCAGGCGAGATTAATTCTACTGTTCATCACATTTCCACTAGAACAGTGGAATAAAAAAAGACACCTGGCTAGAGCTTCAACAGCTAGAAGCAGCCAAACCTTCCACAAAAACCAAATAGAGCATCAGTTTCAACAAATCTCATGTCCTGGCAAACAGCTAATGCTTAAGGCCCCCATATCATAAGGGAAGCCACTGAAACAGTAAAACAATCCTGTAACTTCAACTGAGAACATGGATACAAACTGTAGGAAATCTGGCTTCACTTCTCTTCTTCCAACCCCACTTCATAACCACAAGACCTACAAGTACAAATCAGTTGCTTTCTGCTTCCACCTCATTCATCCTTCAGTGTATGTCTGCAATGCAAGCCAAAACAATGAATAACCTCAACATATGAGGATAACTCTGAAAGCTATAGTTACATAAAGGACTTTTATTTTTGGAATATGCAGTTATCTAATTACCTGAACCTTGCTAGATGTGGCAAAATGTCCCTCCCTTCTGCACTTACAAACCCTTCCTGCAGTTTCCAAGTGTCACGAGGGTGTGATGGATCAACAGCATCAAGTGCCACACTAAACTCATCTGTCCACTCTGGCTGTGGCAGACCCAGCAGTTCGTACAGCAAATCCAGAACGCCTTTCTGCAACCAGAGCACATCAGCACTTGTTAAGTGACCTAGCAGTTAGCACAAAAGTTTGTGTTTGACCATGGTCTCAACCAGGGCAGAGGCCATTCTTAGATTTTCATAACTTTCCTCAATCCCACCCTGGTGAATCTTTCCTTCCCATTTCACAATATGTAATGATCTTCTCATCTCAAATTATGTGGACTACATGAGACAGAGTATTTCTTGAAAACTCAACAGTTACCCTGATAGTCAAAAAACTGCCCTAGTTTTATGTAAATTAACCACATTCATAATAGCCCCTTACTTGTTCATATCCTCAACCAGGCAATTCTGGTATACACCCTAAAATCACATTTCCATTTTAATATTGTCACATGTTAGTCATGTCAGAGTATTATCCTCCCATCTATTCCTAGGTATTCTAAGTGGCTTCTTTCTTTCAGGTTCTTCAATTAATTCTGTTCTGCATTTCTCATTTCCCTCATACATGCTGTATGCCTCACTCATCACACGCTCCGTAAGTTACTGCAGTCAACACAAGATAATTGAAAAAGTTAGGAACCTACCATAGCAATCTTAAATGACAGTCATACCTAACCATACACAGGCCCTTGTGAACATAATTCCAATAAGAGCAGGGACCTGCTTGACCAGCTGAGTTATTTTACTGCATTCTGAAGGAATTAGTTATGCACAAATAACATAAAAATAGGTAGTTGTGGAATACAACTACCTGTATTCAAACTTACACCATACCTATTCAAGAAAAGGAAACACCATGTGAGTTCAAATGCTTCTACTACAACTACTATATCTATTCAAATATGAGTAAACATGTAAGGCAAAATCATTTTATTATTTGTCCTGATTTTATTCTTCAGCACAAACATAATTTCTTTCTGCCTGTTCTAGTTCCACAGAATGATTTTCTGTATAGCAATTCTGTACACAAAACTGAAAGTAGGTACAAACTTAAGGAACAAACTATGGCAAGAGCAGTTTTAGAAGCAGAACAAAAGCCTATTAGAAGAGTAGCCGAAGATGAAGGTTATAACAAGTGCAACCTTTCCACTAATTCCCTCATTTTAAAGAAAGCAAATCTTACAATTTTTCACTATGTCACAGGGTAGTGGGGCATGCACTCCAGTACAGTACACAGGAGAGACTACAGATCCAGTATCAACTGAGAATAAGCTATTATGATGAATGATTTTTATCTTTCTCAGTTTCTTCAGTAAACTGTAGTAATAGTACCTTAAAATCGGCCACAACCAATAAAGATGGCATGTCCCAGAAGACCATAACGTTAATACTCATTGATATGATACAGACCATTCCCCATTCCTTCAACATCCTACTTGAGTTATAAAACACGATCATTGTGTTAACTTTCTTCTGAAGCTTGATTACCAACGCACAGTTGATAAACCTAGGAACAATTTCTATAAGCACTTTCCTCTATATCCATATTTCGTTACCTCTACCCCAGAAAAAACTGGCAGTAGTGGCCACTCCAGTACACTAATAAAAGTGATATTCTCTTCAGTTTTCAATATCTAATCTCAACACAGTACACACAACTGCAACAGGTAAACAGTGTGTGGTAAGAATTCTTTCAAAAAGGTCTTATAGTTTCATTCATTTGAGAAACACAACAGCCCTTCCTTCACAGACAAAGGTTAGAATAAAAGACAAACAAGTGGATTAAACGAATAGGCAGGAAAGGTACAAAAAACTGTCAAAGAGTACTTAACCTTAGAGAACAAACAGTAACACTGTAAGAATCACAGAAGTAAAACCAATGCCAAATTAGAAATTAGTACACATTAGGGGCACAGTATTGGGATCTGTGTTAAAAAGCACCGTGATGAACACAAGAAAAGAGAATCAATATCTGATGTGACAACCATGTTTCTCCAGCATTACCACATTAATAACGGTGTGACACTTTGTCTTCACATAATAAAAATATATTACATTTTCAAAAAGGAATTTTCAAATTTTGCAATATAACATGTGGTTTTACTGGTATCCAGCTCCACATGCCTACATGCACAACAACGCAATGCAATGACACCACTTATTAGTGCCACTGTTCCAGCTTTCAGTAGTCATGTCACAACGTATAATGGAACAAGTAAGATGTGAATATACACCTCATCCTCTTGTCAGAGAGGATGCTACATAATGACTATGGCTGTAAGGGTTAAGTCCCCCCCCTCCTCCCAAAAAAAGCTCTGGTTGTGAGCCTAAAGGAGCTAGGTGCCAAATCAAACTGACTGGTAATAAACCGCCAGTCGTAAAGTAGCTCTGGCTCTGACTCCGGATATACAATATGTTTTCTCAGCTTTGAGATTTTCATGCAGGCCATACACTTCTAAACCTGTCCACCTATGAAATCCTTTTACTTTTACTTCTACTACTAGGATACAAGAACTGCAGTCAACTAACATGTCATCCTCTGGCTACTTACCCTAACTTCTAACTGCTTCAAATACAATACATTAACTAGGGATCTCAGCCCAGAGCTATTTGCGGGATGACAGAAGTGAAGCAAGCCAGGCCATGAACGCAGAACAGACAACAGAGCCAGCCTGCTGCAATGGAACTGGATTTCTCGTTCATCCCTAGAGGAACAAAAGATCTCACATAAACCTAAAAGAAACATTCAGCAAAAAATGCCTTAATTTAAATCATAAACAAGCAAACACTGAGGACTGTTATTGACTCTGTCCACAATTCAGACAGTACTGAAACATCTCTGTCTTTAAGACTGTGGTCACTTTTACCCTGAGGATGGAGGCAGCAGGTTCCTCCAGAAAGTTGATAACCATATACAAATCAAAAGAGTCATAACCCCCCTCCCAAAAAAAAACACAATCTTTATTTCCATCACAATGAAGAGCTCAACACTAATGTCCATGTCTTGCTCCATTTATCTACAGCATCATCATGACACAACAATTTTAGTTTCATGGCTACAGTCTGTAGACCTTCCACAGCTTACTGGCAATTCACATCACTGTAGCTGTGTCTGCTACATTAATAGGTATGTGATTTAACATTACTATTTCCACACTCTTTTATTCTTTCAAGTTAGAACAAGCTAAGATATAACTGCAATTAATGTATGGATATTTTATGCTCTTGTCCAATCTCTATGCAGCTATGTTCTATTATAAACAGAGGAGTAGGGAAAAATCTGACACAAAACTCCTGTGTAAAATCAATGAAGTTTAAATTTGTATTTCATAAAACATTATGAAAATTTGTTTCAATTAAACAGATTGTACACATATCATGGCAACATAGCTTCTATTTGTTAAACAAAAACGTTTCAGTTTAATTTTGAAAATTCTGAAATTGACTGCAATACATTTATATATGGAGCTAGATGGAAAATGAAGAGAGTCTTTAAGTTTTTTTAGTTATTATAATCTCAACTTATTTTATCTACTGAGGTATGCTTTCATATTCAAAATGATTTTAGAAACATTGTGCTGAAAGAATCATAAAGGTAAAATGTAAAGTTGTCCCTGTGCTTAACTAATTAAGCACTACACCATGAAGGTGTATGGGGGAGTGGATGTATAGATCCCCGTTTTCTTGACCTTGGCACTAGCTGGAGGTGTCATCAGCTTCACAGCCTGGCCACTTTACCCTGGGGAAAGAGCACCCGGTACCCATTGGATAGGAGGTTGGGGGACCCCAGAGCCACTTTGGACAATGTAGAGAAGAGAAAATTTTTTCACCCTACGGGGACTTGAACTCTGACCCCTTGGTCGTGCATCCCATAGCTAGTCACTATACCGAATACGCTATCCTGACTATACATAAAAAAACAAAAAGTGAAGTTACAATACTCAGGATTATTGGGATTCTTTACTTTGTCCATCCAGTTTCCGAAATGCCGCGCTCTTTCATGTTCCTCAGAATACTAGACAAGGGACAAAGTCCAAAACGCCAATTACCCTGAGTGTTACACACCACTGTTTAGAACCAAAGTTACAACAGTTTAAAAAAATTATTAGTAGTGAATGTATACAATAATATCAGTTTTCCATTCCATTTGTCTGACTGCAAGAGTCGCTGAGCAAGCTGATACAGAAAGATAATGTCTAACTTGTATTAGGAAGCAGCGAGTTCAAATTCTATCCCAGTTGCCTATGAAGACTGAGGCTTTCCATGTTTTTACTGAGTCATGGTAGGTTAAGGCAGAGTAGTGCCACAGACCATACTCCAAGTCTTCCAATTCATAATTTCACCAGCTGATGCAGCATTACAGACTGCCTCTGTGGTCTTGTGGTCAGAGGTCCTGGCTACAGATCCAGAGGTTCTGGGTTCGATTCCCGGTGCTACCACATTTTCTGAGAAGTGGGCCTTGAACGGGGTCCACTCAGGCTCATGAGGATAATTAAGGAGCTATTTCAAGGAAATAGCAGCTCCAGTCTAGAAAACCGAGATTAACAACCATGGGGATCCGTTGTGCTTACCACGCAACACCCTCTATCTGCAAAAGTTGGCACTAAATTTGGTGACAAGCAGCGGTCGCTCAGTCGGTATAGTTCACTTGCAGACTACAGGCAACAGAGTTTGTTTGTTCTGATAGAGCATTACAAACAAATTAATAATCAACAAACACCATTCTTACCAGTAAATCATACGTCTCTCTGTAACTGAGACAGGAGACACACAAATGGCTTTATGGCATTCTACACAGGAGTTCCAAAGAACACTCAACACCTGATGAAAAGACTTGAGTGTGACTGGGGTATCCGCCTGCATGCTTACCTATTTCGATCAATGTTCAGATGGAAGTCACAGTATGGGGCAGCAAGTGACTGGAGGGAAATCCCAGCTTTGCTTCTTGTGGCTGGATTGTTCAGCAGGAACAACAGTATTCCACACAAGGACTCAGCAATACGTGGCATTTGACAATCCAACAGGTTGCGCATCACAGCAGTTACTCCACCACATAAGATAAATGCTTCAGAGTTCAGAACACCTGCACAGAATTGAAACAAAGTTAACTCAATAAAAGATCTTTCAGAGTAACTGTATTGTTCCCTGGGGCTCATAAAATTCTACGTGGTACACACAAAGTTATTCAAAACTGCACTAAAGGGCAGAATGAAACCGATGTTGCACTATTTCCTATTGGTCTTTTCCCTTAAAAACTTATGGTCTGATATTGTACACTCTTTGTTGTATATTTTATTAATTTATGGTTTATTTAATGATGGAGCCAGTAGCTCAGACTAAGCAGCACAGAATAATATGATAATTGATGAATGAGGGATCAGAGTGGATGTTGAAGAAAGTGGTAATGGTCTAATCTGAGGTACTACAATATATATGAGACAAACTCTGTCTTAAGTGCAACAATTTAATTGTAGTTCTTTCTTCTACAATTACATTGTTGCACTTAAGACGGAGTTTGTCTCATATATATTGCGTGAGTGTAACAGGATGCTTAAATATAATACTGAGGTACTACGTTGGCATTTGCCTGTGGAGACTAACAAAACCATAAAAACCCTCAATCAGGAGAGCAGGTGTCCCAGCTGAGGTAAAAATTGGGCATGTCCTGAATATAAGACAGGAGTGTTATCACTTGAGCCAACTTGCTCAGTATTTTGGTGTAAACCATGATGATTTTTATGCAGTAACAAAGACAAGCATCAGTCTTGCAATGTTTCACAGTGCAAGTTGAATCCTGCATGCTCATCCATACATACATTCATATGAAACTGGGCTAAAAACAATACACACTCATACAAATTTCAATAACTCTGTTTCAGTCAGCATGTAAGTACCCTTACATTTCTTTAGCCTTAGGACATTCATCATTTGATAAACCTAATTTGGGACCATACAAACTGTCTGGTTACAAAACAATATAAAACTGACTATCAATATCACAGAATTGTTGCAGAGAATAAATTATGAAACAATGAAGAAATTTTACCTGGAAAGGTTTGTAAAGTTCTTAATAATTTGGAATACTGAAAAGATGGCAATGAATCAGATGTGTTTTGGACTGAATTTTAATATGTATATTAATAAAAAGTCACTCCTGAGGGCCTAGCAATAAAATTTGCTATCTGATTAAACATAAGATTAAAGAAACAGCAACAAATTAAAGATAAAGATGTAAATACTTTTGACTGAATTCGCTATCCCAGTACCTTCCCAAAGTAATAAATTTAACTTTCATGTGACTAAAGCTAGATGATTAAGGAACTGGTGTTCAATTCTCGGCACCCCACAATATTCAAGCTAACTCTGGGGTCCACTCAGTCTCCTGTACAATGGGTCAGGGTTCTTCTCCCAAGTCTTAAGAAGCCAGTGCATGAAGCTGACCACTCATCTCAACCTAGTGCCAAGATTAGGGATTCACAGAGCTACATCTGCACTCTCCCATATGTCTTCCTAGTGTGGTTTTGGAATATGTACAGGAAAACCACTGCCTTTCAAATATGAAGACCGATAGGGATAGCATAGCATTAATGCTCTAGGCTGCCCTGTATACAGTTCAACAGTGGTGTGAAAGGACACACTTGTCTATCAATCCAAACAAGATGGTGATTGTACCCTTTACTACGAAGATGGATATAAAGGGGCTCAAAGAACCAATCCTCTTCAGTAAAGTGACCCGGCTATCCAGTGAAGTCAAGTACCTTAGATTAACATTAGACAAGAGGCTGACATGGAAACAACAGCTGGATAAGGCTACTGACAACACCTATAAAGCCTTCTGGACATGCAGAGGCACATTTAGGAAGACTTGAGGACTGACACCAAGGGTGGTATACTGGATATACACTGCAGTGGTAAGACCCATAATCACCTATGCCGCCACTATATGGTGGCTTAGAGTCATACTCAAGACAAGTCAGGCAGAACTTAGCAAACTGCAAAGGACAGCTTGGGAATTACGGGAGCAATGAGAACAGCTCCAACAGCTGCAATTGAAATCCTACTAGGACTCCCTCCACTGCATCTGCAGATTGAAGCAGAGGCCAAGTTAGGAAATTACAGATTATGTTGCAATGTTCAATGGAGACCTAAATCCGAAGGTTTTGGACATGCATACATGACTCAGGACACAAAAAAGAACCCATCCTACTGATGGGATCTGATAAAATGCTACTGAAACATGTTTATGATACACCCTTCATGATCAGAATTCCTGACAGAAGTGAATGGAAAGAGGGGTTTCAACCTGATAGAAAGGGGGGACTAACTAGTTTATGGATGGTTCCAAGACAAATGAAGGCACTGGAGCTAGAGTGTATTGTGATGGAAGAGGGTGGACATGTAGTTTTGACCTTGGTCAGTACACAACTGTATTCCAGGCATAATTGTATGCCATTAAGGTGTACACAGTTGAGAATTTAGATAGAAACTATAAAAATAGGAACATCCATATTCTATCAGATAGTCAAGCTGCAATTAAAGCACTTACTACACACAAAATCACTTCAAAATTGGTTTGGGACAGCCACCAATCCCTCACACAACTGGCCAGACATAACAGAGTTCAACTGATATGGGTGCCAGGTCATGAGGGTAGTGCTAGGAATGAAATTGCAGATCAGCTGCCAAGAACAGGATCTGAACAGCCAATCATTGGACCTGAACCAGCTTGAGACATCTCAATTGGAGTTGCCATGAAAGCGATCAGTGACTGGACAGATATAAATTACAAAAGAAAAAAACACTTGGATTCCATAACTGTATTCAAACAGGCAAAAGGATTTATATCAGGACCCTCTGCCAAAAGAACAAGGGACCTGTTGAAATTAAACAAAGATCAACTCAGATGGGTGGTAGATTACTTACTGGACACTGCCACCTAAAAGGGCACCTTTTCAAACTGGGACTGACATAGGACCCAACCTGTGAAAGGTGCCTACAAGAAGATGAATCAGCCACACGCATCTTATGTGATTGTGAGGCTATAGCTTATTTAAGATATTGCCTCCTGGGTCGATTCTTCAGGGAACCAAGTGACATTTATGATGCCCCGTAAACAAAGTCCTACATTTCATTCGAAGTGTAGGATTAATAAAGGGTTAATCCAAAGGGGAAGCACAACAGATCATTGAAGGTCATAGTGCGAGGACCCTGTTTTATGGCTCACCCCTCATACTCATACTCAAGGCTCTAGGCTTGTATTTGAAAGGTGCCTTGTTCATATTTCAGCCAGGACAACAGCTATCCTGACAGAGGTCATCTGAGGTGTTGCTTAGCCCACACGGAAGGATGGTACCCTGATTAAGACATGACCAATTCATTTCAAATCTCTTCCACCTGATTCCTCATCAATCATTCTACCATTCAATACTATACAATCTGGATACTGAAAGTGTCTCCAAACTGATTAATGGAACATACACGGTGTGTCCAGGATTCATTAGGACTCATTTTTTAAATTTTGCCCTGCAATGTCATCTGTTGGCAAATTGGGGCATTAAGATTCTTGAAGTTTCAGCTGTGGTTGTCTATAATTTCAAAGTGCAAGCATCGCTGTATCATCTGTTCTGACCTTGAATGTAACAGTACTGTTCTGATGCTTGTCGGAAATTGGCAGTTGAACAGAGAGCCAACATCAAATTTTGTTTGAAGTTAAGCAAAACAGCCGGAGAAGCGTATGAAATGATGAAAAGTGTGTACGGTAGTGACTGTTTGAGTCACTCGAACATTTTTCGATGGTATGCTGTATTTCATGACGGCATGGAGGACACTGAAGATGCTCCACGTGCATCAAAGCCGAGAACAAGTCGCACTGAAGAAAATGTGAAAAAAAGTGACTGAAATGCTTGCATCAGATAGATGTGTTTCTGTAAGACTCATCTGGGGGCTTTTGGGAATACGAAAAAGTACTGTGCATCAAATTTTGACTGAGGATTTGGGAAAACGGAAGGTCTGTGCATGGTTTGTATCACACGCACTGCCAGGTGATGAAAAACATGCCAGAGTGGAACACTGTAAAGACATGTTACGGTCAGGCCAAAGTTATACAAAATTTACAAAACTGATTGTTACTGGTGACAAGACACGGTGTTTTCAATATGAGCCTCTCACAAAGCGGCAGAGTGCAGCCTAGTTGAGCCCAAAGAAGCCGAACCCAAAAAAAGTGAGCATGCAAAAGAGTCGTGTAAAGACACTGCTAACCGTTTTCTTTGATTCCAAAGGAATCATTCACAGGGAATTTCTGCCAGAAGGTCAACAGTGAATTCTGATTATATCAGAGTCTTCAATCGTTTGTGGGCGAGAATTCTTAGAATTTGATGTGAATATCAAGAGCAAGGTTCCTGGTCGCTCCTCCACGACAATGCCCCACCCCACAAATCGAAGATCGTGCGCAATTTCTTGGCCAGAAAAGGGATCACAGTCCTTGATCATCCTCCGTATTCGCCAGATTTGGCTCCAGCAGATTTCTGGTTGTTCCCAAAAGTTAAGTTGGCGATGAAAGGAGACCGTCATGACACCATCCAGGACATCCAAAGGGAATGTACTGCAATTTTAAATGTGATTCCACAAAAGGAGTACAGTGACGGTTTTCGGAAACTTTTCAATCCATTCCAGCTATGTATTGATTCAGAAGGAGACTATTTTGAATAAAAAGAGTGAAATTTTGAAAATAATTCGTGTCTTGTATTTTTAATGAACATAGGCCTAACAGAACCTGGACACACTGTGTATAACTTAACAACAGAATGACTCACAGATTTCGGCAAGTGTTGCGAGGCAAGACCGCAGCATCCTATCCTTTTCTTCAGCTGCACCATTTGCTAAAGACACTAGTGAGCGTGCCAACGAGATAGGGAAATCCATGGGAGCAAGAACAAGCATCCGACGGACCAGCCGCAGGGCCTGAACTCGCTCCGCATCATTTCTCAGCATCAAATCCAGACTCCTGAAATTGTAACTTTATTCATACACAAATCTCCACTTGGAGAATACATGAACAAAAATAAACTCTGAAAGCATAAGAACAAATATATCAAATGAAATGAAACCCTTTCTTAACACTTTCCCATCCTATTTATTTCCACTATCACGCCCACTAGCTAAAAATTGTGTTAAAATTAAAAAAAAGAAAAAGATACAATGGTACGCAAAAATACAGAACTGTCATCCGCTGCTCCTATACTTGAACCACCATCACAGATGTAAAAGATGGTAAACAGCAAAGATAAAACACTCAGCACATTGTCATAATGCAGTTGTAAATTTGTGAAGTTGGTGATGAAGGCTATGACAATGGGTATTTTTAATGAACATAGGATGTTGGTAGCCAAAATTACAATGTTGGTAGCCATCTCACACAGGCCAGACAAAGGTCACTGTTCTTGAAAACAGTATTATTTAGCCAGGACCAAGATAGAATACTCTCGCATACAAACAATATTAATCACAATCTCAGGTACAGTTCACCACAACTGCTTCATCAAAGAGGGCTTTGACATACACAAATCTGTCAACAAGAAATGTGAATACCAGCACAATAGCATCCAGGGTGAATTCCAAGGGCAAATAAATTCCACTTTCACCAAAAACAATGTGCATATGGGGGATGGGGAGAGGAGAAAGGACACCTCTGCATCTGTGTGGAAAAAACTGGTCTCTTCAGGTCCTTTCACTGTTGCCCCATCAAGGTATCCTGTGATTGATCTGTTGCCCTTTTCAGAAACTACAGTTTCCATTGGTCTACCCATGGCCGCATCTTCCCTTCCCCATCCTTGGGTCTAAGTGACCATGCCTCCTGGTTACCCTACTTCTCCTACACAACCCACCTCTTGAACAATTTAGCTTACTTCAAACATCGAAGAGGAGACAGCACGTTCTTCTGAAATGCTGGTCACCTTTAACTGGACTGCATGGTGTCATAACCCAGATCACCATAAGCTAAATCTTCACCACCATGAAAACCTAAACTCTTATCTTATTTATTGAGATATTGTGTTTCTGCAATTCCACAAGATTTTAGTTTTTATAAAACATTTTTCTTCAACTTCCATGTGAGCGACAATGGTTCTCAATATTAACACCACAGAACATAACCCCTTGACCTGTAGTCCGCAAGTGAACTATGCTGACAGATTGATCGCCACTTGTCAGTGAAGTTAGTGCCAACTTTAGCATATAGAGGGTGTCACGTGGTCAGCGCAACGGATCCCCATGGCCGTTAATCTGAGTGTCCTAGATGCGAGCTGCTATTTCCTTGAAACAGCTCCTCAATTATCTTCACAAGGCTAAGTGGAACCCATTCCAGATCCACTATTACTCAGAAACTCTGGTAGCTCCAGGAATCGAACCTGGGACCTTGCCAGGAACTCTGACCACTAGACCACAGAGGCGGTCCCACAGAACATAACATTTTAAGAAAATGGCAAGCCCTACATGGCCAGCCTGTACAAAACTGGATTGCCAGTTTGTTACACGTTCATACACCTCAAGTTGTTCTGGGTTACACGTCAATAGTTAACACTTTTCAATCATCTAGTCTAATGACACACACAGAATATTTCTAGCTTACAAAGAAAACAGCAAGTGAATAATTGTAGTAGTTAACTCTTTGACTGGCGCGGGCGTGTTTTAACGCCTGGACGATGCCAGCCGTTCCCTGGCGTTGGCGTGTTTTAACGCTTTGACAATCTCGTCCCTTCTTTGCTCTCTTGGCACTCATCAACCAAAGACATATATATTGTAACGTGTCTGGAATCCAGAAGTCACTTCTATGGAAACGCTAGAACAGACCGTTGCATAAGAAGTAACAATAGCGATACTGTAATTCCAACAGTGAGCTGTTGTATCAAGAACATCGAATCTCCACGGTAACAACAAACAAAGCAACGTCTCCATGGTTATAACAGAAGGTTCATTTGCCTAGCAGCGGCGAGGGTATAAATAGGCCAGCTTCGATGAGAAGCCGTCACTCTCGGAACAGGCCTTGAAGAAGAAGCTTCGGAATATCCGTCTGGGTCCAGCATCGCCGGAATGTTGTGAGCAGTGATTGTAACACTGCAAGTGCAAATGATTGTAATGTGTGTAAGTGAGCGAAGGAAATAAAGTCGCTATATTGGAACCACGGCGTGAACTTATTTGTAGCGTGACACACAAAACACGCTACAATATGATAGTTTTTGTGCATGTTTGTAAAGAACCCTTGTAAACTTTGTGGGGGTCTATATTACTGTCAGAACCCTCTGAGAAGGAAAAGGTCAGAAAATATTTCACATTCATTCAGTTTCACCATGTCTTCTTGCAGCAAGTGTCTTCGTGTTCCTACAGACCAGCTGGAAAATG